TGGGTCGAGTGTTACTTGAGAGGAACATACGTGGCACATGTGTGTGTGTTTATATATATATATGTTGACTATAGTAATAATAGTCTATATGATAACGAGTTTTTATCGTCATTGTATTTTAAATCCTTCAGTTTTGTCATGCGTGATGGGACTCTGGGCACGACCCAAGTCCTCAAAGAATGGCGATTTGACGCGTGTGACACAGTTTTGGAAACAACAGCACAGCATTTGTGAAACATGCTGCACATTGCTCGATAATTTCGGGAAACATGCAGAAGGAGCAAAGTCCAAGTAGTACAGTACCACAAGAGAGCGCTTTGAGTTGAGGGCCAAGTGGAATAATTTTCTTAGGACCCCCTTGCAATCCTACCTACAGTACTCTTTGGTTTTCACAGTCTTGCCAAGACTGCGATTCCTTTATATATATATATAGTCCGCACAGACCTCGACGCATTTGCAGAGTTTCTCATAAACAATTTAATGTAGGCTAATAGTCTCTTCGTGCATCTCGTCCTCCACAAGACCTCCCGAACAGTGTTTGTCCTTCGGTCTTTGACTAGAACACAATGGGCTTTCGACTGAGTCTGGATGATCTGATGGTGAGTGGACTGCCATGACATTCTCAGATCAGTCAAACTTCTTCATCCTCTTTCTTCTCAATAGGTGGCTTTCATGAAGACACACGAGGTTCAAACGGTTGATCCTTGCTCTTCCAGGAGTGTGAGACCCTGTCAGCCAGCTCAGAGGTCAGCAGTGGACCGCCGTTGTTCGAGGAGGTGGAGGATCCTGTAAAGCACCTGGGTCAGCCGACTCGTTTGCTCGATCGGCGGCTGACTCGCTCGCGTGCGTTAAGGCACTGACCAAGGGATCGACTCGGAATTAACTCGACTTGTCGACGCATGTTTTATGGAAGACACATGGACACAGGTGACGTGGAGCCTGAATGGGGGCGGTACGTAGTTTGGAAGCACAACAAATCAAGTCTTTTAAGTGACTTCTTCAAAGTGACCGAACTGCATGCATAAGCGCACTTCAAGACCTGTTTTGAGGTCACTCACCAAGCATCTGGAACCCTTTGTCTTCCAGGGTTTGGAACCCGCTCTTCGAAACTCCCCATAAGGCCTCGCCAAGGTTTCGGATGACGTCGGATAGATCAACGTTTCGTGGACGGTTGAAACCGTCGAGCGTAACACATGGGACAAAGCTTCGTGGATCAAAGACGAGGATCTCATGGGACATGAAGCTTCAGGTCTCTGCTTTTCTCCCTGTTTCTTTGGGCTTCGTGACTTGTGGCACCCAACGCCTCCGACCCGTTGGCCTGAAAGGTCAGACGACACCCACAGGTGCAATTGTTGGCCAGCTGCACGAAAACGCGATCCACAGGTACGATGGTGAGGGTCCAAAGAAAGAGTTTTGGCAGATGGGGTGACGGAAATTTCCCTGGTAAATGAAGGTAAAGCCATACAAATCCCTATATATCTTTTCCACGGCTCCCTGGACAGCAAATTGCAGGAACATCAAGAAACCCTCCTGTTGTTTTCTTTTGTGGGCCGGGGGCCCATGGGCCCCGGGTCATCACGCGAATTCGCGACGGTGCGACGAAGCCTGAGGCATGTGGATCGCGCAAGCCTTCAAGGCATGACACAAGCCTTTGCTTTGGCCTCGCTTAGTGGTTTCGGCTGTATTCGGCTCTGGGGTGGGGCCAAAACGGAGGGGTCGTCGATTGAAGTGGGGGATGGTTTTTAGAACGAAACTGAAAGCATCGAAGAAGAGTGGCAGACACCTCATCCAAACATCTAATCATAATTTCATAATCATTTGCCATCTCTTTCGTCTTCTTTCAGTGGTGAGGCTCGATGCTGGGATGATTGATGTGTTTTTCGTGTTGTTTCCTCCTATCCTAAGAGTCCAGGCTCTCAAACACATCAGGTTTTACTGGTCATACTGGTCCGGACCTCCTGTTATGGAGGGTTCGGCAATCGTTCGGCGCAAGGATTCGCTGATCCATCACACGTGTTGCTCTGACAACATTATTGGTGTTCAAACAAAGACCTCCAACCTAATAGGAATGGTCTCCAACCTACGTACTAGCGATGGTCCCCATTCTAATAGCAATGGCCTCCAATCTACTTGGCTTAAACTGTGACCGTGTCCTCACCCACCATCTTCTCCGAGGCGTAGACGGTTTTCCTGTTGCACTGAAGAGCAAGGGGCTCGAGGAGTTGTTTGGGCCCTCGCGCCAGGCACCGCGACGGACGACCGAGGTGGAAGGTAGCTTCCTTCCCTTGTCACTCCACGTCTGCCACAGCGTGGCCAGGAACAGGTTTGGTTTTCTTAGAACTACAGTAGATGGACCAAATATTCAAACCCATGTATCAATAACTGTCGCCAACCCCTGACCCCCAAAGGTCAATGTTGAACATAACTTGATTGAATTTGTGTTTCCAGGGTTTGATTTGTTTCGTCCATTCGACGAAACATTCTTGCAAGAGCTCTAACATTGAGCTTTGGGGTAGAAGGGGTCCTCGTGGTTGAAAGGGTTTGAATATTTCGTCCATCTACGGTACTGGGCGTGGACGGCGACCGGAGACCTACAGACGCACATGCGTGTGTTGTTTTCAAGTGATGCCGGGCAGTTCCCGCTACTGTTCTTACTGTTGCCATGTGCCTTGTCTGTTCCCAGTCCCTTTCCAGTGCCTTTCCAGTGCCTTTTCCAGTGCCTTTTGCACTTTCTCGTAACCCTGCCAGCAAAAATGTGTTTTTGGTAAGTTTTGTTGAAACAAAAAGATAAGCTATCTCTTTTTAGCAAAAAAGTGAGTCACATGGCAAAATCACTGGCAGGCGCACACAAACCGTGAAAAGGCACTGGAAAGGCACTGGGAACAGACACGGCACATGGCAACAGTAAGAACAGTAGCTGGAACTGCTCTTCATCTGGCTTGCTTTCCTGAGGTCTGCTGTCCTCGCTCGCAACGTGTCGATGTGAAAGAGTTGTTGAGCACAGAAGATTAGAACACAGAGTACTACGGATGAAGATGTTAGACTTGATACTTACGAGCCAAAAATGCAAACGTCACAGCTTTAGACAGTAGATGGACCAAATATTCAAACCCATGTATCAATAACTGTCGCCAACCCCTGACCCCCAAAGGTCAATGTTGAACATAACTTGATTGAATTTGTGTTTCCAGGGTTTGATTTGTTTCGTCCATTCGACGAAACATTCTTGCAAGAGCTCTAACATTAAGTTAAATTCGTGGTAACTAGCTGTCAATTTAGAATGATCAGCTGTCAATAGTTGAGGTGCAGAGCTACCATCATGCAGCAGTAAAGGAATGCAAACCTGGATGTCAAACAGAGTGGGCATGGGTGGCATGCAACTGTCTTTGTGCACTTGTGGATGAAAAAAGGTGGCTGTACCAGAGGGCCTGTTTTTGTACTCTGGTTGGTGGGGACCTCGAAGTTTGCTGATTGCCCACCGTGCAGTTTGCTTGTGAAAGCCACAAAGCCTTAGCTGGCTGTAGTACAGGTTTTTTCTCCAAGAAACCTTGCATGTCTCTAATGCAAACCTAAGGCAAACAAAAGTTCAAAGACCATACAGTGAAAGCATGTGAAAGCTGTGTACAGTGGGTGAACAATGTCGTCCCCACAGACCCTTTAGGCTCATAATTTGGAAAAGATGAAACTAAATCACCCTATTGTCTTTTGCCAGGGCATCCAGCAGTTTTACAGGAAATGTTTTGCAGTATATGTGTATATATATAATCATTACTGTGAAATATGAAGAGACGTCGCTATGCGTGCAATGAGCGGCACTGCGAGAATGACATTGTGAACAACATCATCAACCACATGCACAAAAGACGAGAGGTAGTCGATCCCAAAGTTTTTCTGGCACTGTCACGGATGGAGTGGCAGAAGGAGACCTTGGGCACCTTTCCTTTAAGCAGTCATGTGAGAAGTATTTGTTTTTTTAGTACCCCCCCCAAGCCTTCGATGTCCCTGACATCTGTCCAAAGGTACTTATTGGCCATATGGTGGAAGATGCCCTACAAGCAGATATGAGACGTGCTCCTTTGCACTGGTTGACACCAAAGAACACCCCTCCCTTGAAGATGTGAAGTTTGATCATAGTAGCTTCGGTCCCATGAACATCTATGACCAGGAGGGCCACCTTCTGCTTAAGAAAATGTATGACAAGTACATTGACGACTCTTGAATCAGAACTGTATTTCATCATGTGTTTTGCCACCCAACTCGCTTCCAAACATGTCCGGGCTTGCCTGTGTTTTGGTTTGACCAGATCCCGAACCAACTATATAAACGCAGTTATGCTCCAAGGATATTCGCTCTACATCTTCAGATACGAAGGCGTTGGACATGGATGCCTTGGAGGTTCTCGAGGCAAAATGGCGTGAGGACCCGTGGGGACTTGCAATGCTCTACAATGTGAAGAACAGGCCACATGACATCAGGGTGCGACTGTATCGTCTCCATGAAGCCAGGATGCCAGCAGACCCAGACTCCCAGCTTTATGCAGAAAACTTTCCGTTTTTTGATGCGTTGCCACCAGGCAAGGTGAGGTCGGAAGCTTTCAATGCAATTGACCCCATGTACTAAATTAGTACAAGTAGTTAAACATGTTCAAACATGGAAGAATATCTTGGATCCTTGGTTTTAGGAAACAGAACCCTGCAACACATTTCATTGAAGTCATGTTTTGGAAAAGGATCCAACGGCTTTTGAGAAGATGGTGTACGGCTAGAAGATGCAAGTGTATACTAAAAGGGATTGTCTACGACAAAAGAGATTCTTGATCAATAATGTTTGGTTGATGTGTTGAATGCAGTATGCATCCTAGCCCTTCTACACCACACTTGACACATGATGGTGTGAAAAAAAATCAGGATGCGCTGCTGTGCGCAGGTGATTTTACAAAAATAAATCTTTGGACTGAGCTATATAGATAGATAAATAATTGGACGGCGAAGCAACTGCATTGCGTTTTTTGAGATGTTGTGGAGACAGTTTTGTCCTTTAGCATTTGTGCAAAAAGCCTTTGCGTGGTCTCAAGCATGGCGCCAAAGAAGCAGCGAGTACGGCGCTCCCTTCTTGACCCCTCTCCTGCGGATGAGGTGGGTGGCTTAAATACGACTTCTTTTACACACACAAAGTTGGAGGTTGCAAAAATGAAACCTGAAGCGTCGACCTGTTTTTCGTAACCACCCCTTGCACAGGCAGTTCCTTTCCAAGATGAGACGGATGAGCGGTCCGCAAGCCCTGTTCAAAAGGAAGGCCTGGCCATTGATTCACGTTGTATTTTTCCACTGGTTCAAAATTTGTATTGGCAGTTTGCACCTGTGTTTTCACAGTTTGCGCAGTTCCCCTTCAGGCAAAAGAAAGAAGCGACGAAGGCTAGTTGACACTGATGATGATGGCGTTGACCATCCTCTACTGCAAGACCTTAAAGACAGGATGTCTGAGCCGCTCTTGGGCTTGTTTGATCATTTGTTGATTCTTTGTTGTTTATGGTGTTCTTTTGGTTGGTTTAACATTTTAATTTTGTTTACAAGTAGTATATATTGGGCTAAGGGTTCCGCGCCTGTTTTGCATGCTTGTCCCAAGATTCCCCATGCCGGAAAACTTCAGTCAGCTGTTCAATTGGGCGTCGAATTTGCTGCTACGATTTGAGTGTCTGGGCAATGTATATATAGATGTGGTTCAAAGTGTTGCTTTTGTGTTTCCACTTCAAGCCTTTGATGTCACAAAACCCATGGTCACCTTCAAAAATACACAACCGGTGTCAACAACACTCTGAAGGAAACTTCTTGGCCCAGATGAAGTGCGAAGCCGCTTTGAAACGAGTTGCTTGCACTTGGACAGCTTCTTCACAGGTGGAGATTGCCCAGGTATTGCCATGGATTACATCATGGCAGCTGTGCGCCGCAGGTGTCTAAGAATCAATCATTGAACCTTTTTCTTGCCCTTTCAAAAGATTTGGGAGACCCATTGGTTGTTTGTTGATCCACAGCCTCTGATGATATGCGGAGTGATTGCCTAGTATACCTGTGCTAGTTTTGGGGAGCGCTAGGTACAGCATCGACCTGGATGTTCAGTTTGGCCGACGCTGTGACGTTGCACCACAGTCCAAGAGGCTACCTGGAAGCATGTTGCTTCTCATGATTCAATGTTGCTTCTCATGATTCATTGCTAAAGCGTATTACGCTAAGGTTTCTGCTGGACAATTGGCCTGACCGCTGCATGTTTGCGAACATCCTTGACTTTGTGAAAGACTCCGACAAACCCATTGCAGATATGAAAATGGAATCTCGGCATGATAATACATATTTTTATCACAAGCCCCATTTTTGATGAGAAAATGTTTCAGCCACTTTTTCCATCTTACATTTCTTACATTGTTGAGGAACCAAAAGCATACTGCTTGGCCCACAAGAAGCAATGTCAGAGACGTCCTCCAAAACATCACGACAACCGATTGAACATTGGTGCAGAGGGCCCTCCATGTGTATTGTTCTCTCTGCTTCTTGGTTGCTGAAACTTGAATACTATTTCAACTTTGTATGTTTTAAGGTTTGAGATTCAATGTAAGTTGTTTTGAGTCACCCAACTCATCAAACAAAGGATGGGAAAGCAGGAAGGGCTCAACAACACGGAGAAAGCAAAGGTGCACAATGTCTACGTGAGGGACAAACTAGACACGAAGCTTTTGAGACCTCTACAGTATATTGTTGTTGTTGGTTGGGTTGTTTTGTGTTTTTGTGTTTTGTAGAAGTTCAAGATAACAAAACGTGTCTCATTATCCTTTTGCAATCCAAGGTTGGCCTGGTGGATCCACGAGAACGTGCTACAATACCCGGAGGAACACATCAAGAAGCCTTTCTGTGAGGAAGCTGGCTATGAGATGCAAGCTTCCATGATAAGTCCCCAGCGCTTCGGAAAGCCAATGTCAAGGCAGAAACATGTGGGCGTAGAAAATAATTGTTTTCAATCTGCCGAGTCTTGAATTCAATCTGTTGAGTCTATAAAGAACCGTTTGAGTGACATTGGCTAGGCTGAGAATGTATCGAATCTTTTACGATAAGCACCGCTTCACATGGCGTGGGCCGCCACTTCGTGTCCTTCTCAAGCTCTTGTTGCCACTTCAGCCTTTGCGAATGGATTGCGATGAGTTGTTCTATATGACCAACACTCAGCTGGTTCCGCAGATCAGTTGTGCACTGTG